AGAGGTGGAGGGGAGAGAGAGAGCAAGAGAGCGAGCACAAGGGTGCATACATGTGTATAACCAAAACAGAAGCTATAATGCTATCACAGATCGTGCTTTATTTTACTGTTGCACATACAGACCAACCTGGTATAATGTGCAGAACTACACAAGAGGATGAACACCAAGAGGATGTGGGAGGTATTGGGGCCCTTCTTAGAGACTAGCTATTACAGTGCTCGATGCCTGGGTGATTATTTATCCCAAAGGAATAGTGTTTGCATAGTTCATATGGATAAGAACAATTGTAATCTAATTGGTGTCAACATTTTTAAACTTTCACAAAGATTTTAAAACCTGTGTCACTGTGAATAGATTCTTTTCAGTTTCCCTGACATGAGGCTAAAGGACTTTTACTGCACTTTATGTTATAGAATAATTTCTGTTTTCTCTCCAGTTGCCTTTTACTTTTCTGTTGAAATCTGGATTTCCTTTCCAGCAATCATTCAGTTATTTTCTAGATGAAATGACCAAAGAAGCAGAGATAGATAATTCTTCAACCGTAGAAAGCCTTGGAGAAACTACTGATATCTTGAATATGGTAATGATTTCCTATCTGTTTATCTAAATATGAGTTTGAATTTTAGTTCATTGTGTATGTGAATGTGTGTACTGCTTCTATACTCTTATATGCATGAAAGCCACTTTCTTGTTTCTTATTTTTGTTTGTTATTTTTAACCAACTATATTGAGATATAATTCACATATAAAATTTGTTTTGATCCTCACATTATTAGTATGGCAATTGAGAGTGGATTCTATTACTATCTGAACTGTTTTCCCTTCATTATATATGTATATATGCACACATATATATAAAATTTGTACTCTATATATAGTACAAACACATCGTATATATACCATATTCTTTTTTATAATATATATTTTTATTTATTTTCAGACACATTATGAGCCTGAATTCCAATGAAAAGTCATTAAAATTATCACCAGTTCAGAAACAAAAGGTATAATATGGAGATTTATTTTCATTATTGTTGATAAGAGCAGTTTAAGTTAATTTTTGGATGGTTTTGGAAAGAACTACAAACGTAAGCATTTACTTACTTTGGAATTTAAAAGACAGAGATACGATGTAGAATAACCTCCATTTTTGCAGTGTTCTGATGTTATATATTTTTGTAAAGAAACAAAGTGGAAGCATTTTATTGCTGAAATTTGCTCTTTAGGTCCACTAACTTAAGTTATACTAGCCATACTTTTCCTTCTGTCAAGCCATAGGTTATGATTGCAGTTCTTATGTGTAGGAAAAGACTACCATTTATTGATAGAGTGGCTCTCAGCTTCTGGTTGAGTATGACTTTAGAATGAATTACTATGCTGACTTTACTGAATGATATTAATATCTTTTTTAGCTTTACAATTTTGTGATTTTAGTGAATATCTTTGATAACCTTTCCCAATATTTGCTTGGTTGGCTTTAATTTAATAAAGTGTTAGCATAAAATAAGATTAAACATTTGGAAATTAGAGACTGTTCATGGGTAGGAAGAGACTTTTATTGAATAACAAACTAGCAAAAGAGAATAGGCTGTGGTTTTCACAACCCCGTAGAGAGATGAGACTGCCCTGGCAAATCCTTTGCTTTTCCTGGCTTTAAGGACTAGTGTGATGAATGAATGAGGATTTGAGGGGATTAGGAAAATAAATTGGAGAAATGTAAATTGAGGGAAGAAGACTATAAAAAAATATTTAATTTCTGTTGTAGTGTCTTTGACATGTTTTCCAGGATTTAAAACTCTTAACATTGAAGTCACTGAAGTGCAGGAGAATCATGCTAAATTGTTAAAATTTAGAACTAGTCCTCATTCATTCTATCTGTAATACTGAAAGGCATGGTGAATAACAATAGCACTTTGAATATAGAAACTGTTCGAACACAGTTGTAGAAGCTCAATGAATATTATTGGTTTTGACTGACTATACTTCCAAGCAGACACCTTTCTTGTTTCTTTCCTTCCTCTTCCCTTAGACTCCAGGCTCTCCGTCTTCTGGGCTGCTTTATTGTGCTAGGGAAACAAAGGCATGTGCCTTTAGAAATCAGTTCTGGCAACTGGGCCTTCCTCTCTTAGGGCTCTTAAAAGAATCACTTTGACTTTAAAGAGCAAGACCAAGAACAACCAGAAAGCGGAAAGCAATTGCTTTTAAGCGACATATATTTTATACTTTCTATAGTCCTTTTAAGTGTAGGCCCTACCAGGCCTACTTTAGTAAATGATAAAAGATTTATTATACTATTTCTGTGTATTAGCATTTAATTTTTTTAACTTATCATGTTTCAATAATCTCTTTGGCACAATAGGAACCTCTTCCTAGGCCTAATCATCACAGTTTATACAATTTGAATTAGTGAGTTTTACTATCAGAGACCCAAATTCATTATTTTCTTGGAGTAGTTCTGTGATACCCATCCCACGGCCCACATCCAATTTACTGGATGTGATAAGACTTAGAGTACATATGTTACGGTTAGGGATAATATTTGTACATACTGTAATAATGAATGTGCACTGCGTGGATTTTTTTGGAGTCCACACTATTATCAGTATGGGAGGTGAAGAGAAAACACATGTGTTTGGATCTTCACTGAATACTCTGGAGAAGAGAAAGAGCTGATGAACAAAACATGGAGAACAAAATCGTTCACTCGGGTACAAGAGAAACAATCGGGGTGATGTTCGCAGGTCCTTGTGATCAGAAGTAAGAATGGGGAGGGAGGCTTCTAAATATTTTTAAAAGAGAGTTATAGCTATGGCACCAGTCTTTGAATATATAGGAAGACCAAATCCTGGGTTATTAGAGGTCAAATGGAGGAAACTTACTGGGGATGAGAAGGGAAAGGGTCAAAGAGCCTTGCCAAGTTGTGTCATCATATGATGCTAGAGTGTACTTACATTAGCAAAAGGGAATTTGGGACTCAGTTAAGCTCTTTTACATATTTTTCTCGTATTCTTAGGACTACACATGTAGTGAATTTTTATACTATGTTGTCTCAGCATCATTTTGAATATATTGGACTTTCTCATACCAGAAGCAGGGCTTAGTCACCCTTGACACAGTTTCCAGTTCTCCACCTCTTCCCTGTTCTTCAATGTGGTCGATCCAGATATCCACCTTATACAGTCACCTGCTGGTGACCACCTCCCTACGGGACAGCTAGATACAACCTACTTGACTGGCCCCATTGACCCCCCACACTCTGCATGGGCTGCACGGATCTGCCACAGTGACCCCTTCTCAGTCACAGCGTGCCTCCGTGGAACTCCTGCCTGCTGGCTTTCAACCCACCGAGGAGAACTCCCCACGGGAAAGCGGCCTGGGAATGCCTGGACCCGGATTAAGGCCTAGGCCCACAGGGCCCTCACTCTCTCTTGCTCCCCACCTGCTGGCTAAGCATGGATGGCCCAGAGGGTTTCTTCCTTCCTGCTGGCCCTGAGAGGAATCTGTAAGGAAGACGCTGCCTCTGGTATTTCACGCGTTCTGTGGAGCTGCCTCTCTGTGTCTCACCCCACCCGCACACTCGGACCTGACTTCCTTCCCAGTCGGCGTTCTCCTAGAGAGTGGCTCTCTTGGCAGGAATACACCAGACACGGGTCAGACAAGGGCCACAAGGGCGTCTGCGACTATAAACAACTTTCTTGTGAGAGGGACACCTGGTCATGAGTTGATCACTTAGGAATGAGACTGTCTACCAGGATAAAGAAGTGTCCCGAGGCCCCGTCCCCACTTCAGGGGCGCTCGCGCTCCTCCTCTCCACCCCTCGCTGTGGGCTCACGCGGCGAGGGTCGTGGTGACCTGGGGTGCACGGGGCCGGCGAGCTCTGGGAGGTTCGCACCCTCGGGGGCTGGGAGCCCAGTTCCCGGACCCAGGCGAGGCCCCCAGCTTATGACCCGCCCCCATCGCTGTGATCCTCAGGGCCAGGGACCCCCGACTCCACGCGACCGTGACCACATCCAGGTCGCCCCCAAAACACAGACACGTCCTTTCTGACCTGATGATTCCACTCCCGTCATCTCAGAGACTGTCCAGCACCCCCCTCCCTCGGCCTGGGAGTTCGTCATGGCAGTGCAGCAGACGATCCATGCACACACGCACGTCTGGCCTGGGTACACCTGAGGTCACCTGACCACATAGAACCCGTCCCCATCTCTTCTGACCCGAGGATTCTCCCACTCGCTCTCCCTGTGACGGTGTCTGGCTTGGGGGAGGGGGGGTTGTCCCTTTTCCCCAACCTGGCCACGATGACCTTGGCATTGGGTTCAGCAGAACCCCCTCCCACATACACCAGGCCCCGTCAAACCCCTGTGACCAGTTTCACTACCACCATCTTGGTGAGTGTGTGTCTGACCTCTCCAGAAATACACATCGACCCCTAGCCAGCCCGA